CAGCAAAAGGGCCACTTCATTATGAGTACGCTGTGAATAATGTATCGCTAATATAAGTAACACAGTACAAATATTTGTGTCTGTGCTTCACTATTATTTTTCTTGGAATAAGCGCATAAATACCATTGCTAGTGGATGCTTGCGTGAATTGTTTTTTCTAAAACGCACATTGAAGCCTTCGACACCTACTGTTCGTTTGCTAACCTAAAATATATTCGACCGTTGTTGAAATATGCAGTTATTATATGAAACTCATTCACTTCAACGACTATTAAAAAACTTGAACGTGTACAGCATAAGGTAATTCGATTCATTTACAATTCCTTTGGAAACTATTTTCATCACTCAAAGTGACGTGACGATATCAGCAGATTACTCATCGGCTTTCGTAAAGACATTCCAGCCTCCGCGATTAACATTGTGCCCCACTGTGGCAACGAATATGTGTGTGCCATAACGATAATGGGTATACAGGAATACACTCTCATCGGAGCATACCTGGAACCAGGCGGGCCTATCAACGCATCAAGGTTTGAAAACTTGATTTCAAGGACACCTTCCCCACACATCATTTGTGGAGACTTCAATGCCCACAATGAAATTTGGGGCAGCTCACACACTTGTTCTCGAGAAGCAAAGCTTGCAGAGCTGCTCTCAAAAGATTCAATTGAACCTCTAAATGACGGCAGCATCACCTTCCTACGAGGCACCATGACTACCAGCAGCATCGACGTGACCTTTGTAACAAGTTCAGTCGCTCGCAAATTTGACTGGTGCACCGACTTAAAAACGCGTGGGTGTCATTACTACCTAATCATGATTTCAGCTGCTTGTGTAAATATGACATCGAAAAAAACCGTATTGAGATACACAGATTGGAAGGCGTACAAAGACAGAACATGAAAGATAATCACTGCCACTACAAAGAATGATGAATTACTCGCTACGATTGTTCATTGCCTAAAAGAATGCACACACGGTTCAACTAAAAAGGACAGATTTCCGTCAAATGAAGAGGATTTTGAAAGACTGTGTGCTATTCGCAGGTGAGCGGAACGGAAAGTTCTGCGCACAAAGAATTTAGAAGACCTGCGAGCTTGTCGACAGACCCATCGTCATATTCGGCGCTACCTGGATAAACGTAGCTGGCAAAGAGGCGTGACTTTTGCTCAACACTAGACGTTCGCCAACCTGTGTCCACAATCTGGCGGGTTTTTAGAGACATGTGCATGTCACTCCAGCAGCTTCACCCTTTCGCCACATTCTCCCTGTACGAACGAAAATCCCTCAAAGAGCTCTCAGAAGGATACTGCGCACTACTATCAGAAAATTCAACGCTTTGTCCCGCATCGGCAGGTCGCCAGCCTGGCAATTCACGGGTGGCAGTGCCAGCGCTAGACATACTTTTCACAATTGAGGAACTGAACAATGCTATCGGTGAGTCAAACCGGCGTACATCAAAGCTACCCCACGCGTCCCGCCTACCACTCCTAGAGTATTATAATTTCTCGTAGATGTCTGGAGTTGTCCTTGCTGAGTGGAAGCTGGCTAAAATAGTGCCTATTTTGAAACCTGGTAAGCAGCCAACAAGCTACACCTCTTTCCGGCCTTTCGCCCTACTGAGTTGCGTTGGCAAACTCATGGAGTGAATGATTCACAAAGGATTGACCTGGTTTCTAGAAATCCACAACGAGTTTCCGCAAGAAATGAATGGGTTTCGCCAAGGCAGGTCGGCTATCGACAATGTCATCGCACTGTCTCTTCTCTTGAAAAGGACCTTTCGGCAGGCAGAATCCCAACAGCCGTTTTCTTGAAATCAAGGCAGCTTTCGATTCAGTCTTTCACCACGCCATTCTAGCAACTATATAAGCTCTTGGCCTAGGAGGGAATCTTTACAAATAAATTTAGAACTATCTAGAAGAGCGGAAAATATATATGAGCACTCCAAATGGTCGCACACAGTTCTATACAGTAGAGAAGGGCATACCCCAGGTTGCCGAGATCAGCACGCTCCTTTTAAACCTTACCCTGATACACATAACAAAATCACTCCCTCGAGGAGTACACATCACGATTTACGCTGACGACATCTGCATCTAGAGCGCTTCAAGTTCACGTTAAACCACCAAGCAGCGACTTCAAAGCGCTTTACAGAACATCTCCACATATCTTAGGCCCCGAGGCATGCACCTTTCACCAGAAAAGAGCCCAGCCATTGCTTTCACAAAAGAGAAAATGAGCAAGTTTGCGCTAATCCTCGGTAGATGGCCACTGACCTATGTATGGTCTCAAAGATTTCAGGGAATCATCATCACACAAAAATCTTTCCCGATCTCCTCAGGTGAAGAAACTTCGAACTAGAATAGTAGCAGCCACTCAACTATTCAAATTCATGGCTGGAACACGATGGGGATGTAATCGCCGCTTACTGGTACTGCTTCAGAAAGCATACATTGAGGGAACATTACGCTATTGTCTACCGGTGCTTCGTCGATTATTCCCAGCAAATAAGAAAATTTTGGAAGCCCCATGCAACAGCTGCCTACGAATATGTCTAGGGCTCCCGAAGAGCTCATCTGCATTTGGAACTGTAGCGGAAGCAGGATCTCTCCCGCTGGATGTCATCTCTATACAAAAAACCATGCGTACACATCTTCGACATGCATTACAAGGTAAAAAGCATTTCCTGTACCGACTTCACCTATCGCACAGCAATTATTCGTTCAGCCAAGCTGTGCAAATGCGTCAACTCTTTCCTGTTAATCAGCCAAAAAATCAATGTTTGCAACATTTCTTCCCTGGACACTTTCACCTCTAACTATAAAAAAGATGTACCTAGCTTCAATGGGGCAAAGAGATGAATGTCACAGGCTGCGCTGATGCAGAATACTCCCCTCTTCTTAACAGAAAACTATGCTCAGCACTCGCACATTTACACGGACGCCTCAACCACTGAGGAGACCCGCTTATGGACTTTATATCCCTTCTACAAGACAAATGCTATCCTGTCGACTGCAATGGATCACATCTTCGACAGCAGCAGAACTTTATGGCATCAAAAAAGCTGTCCTCTACATCTTGCGCCAAACGCCGGAACGATCAGTAATTTTCACCGACACCAAAGGAGCACTACAAATATTGTTCAACCTCCTAAAGAAAATTAATTGTCACCTCATTTCGTTCGATATAGCATATCTACATCACCTGGCTGTGACCGCAGGGAACTCTATCACATTTCAGTGGATACCGGGTCATTGTGGAATTTCCGCCAATGAAAAAGCAGATGAAGCAGCACGCAAGTGTCTTGGACACCACAATTACAGACGAACTTATTTCACTAAACTAGATGCAGCTGACATGGCCAAAAGACTTGCGATTGAAAAAAAATAAGAGACGCTAGAACCTTCCAACTCATCATTATGTCTTCCTTCACTTAATCGGCCCCAATATGAGAACAAGACTTTCATTTCGAATTTCTCGCCAACTGGAAACGTTACACCATCGCTTACGTCTAAACAGTGCTTATGTTGAGAGCCTACGGTACCGCTTCGGTCAGCCAGTGAGTCCGTATTCCAACAACTGTGGCTCCATCGAGTCAGTGCAACATATATTGTTTGAGTGTAGACCGTATACTGAGGAGCGTGCGCTTTATGAACATTGCATGCATTATATAACCAAGAGAACTTTCTCACTTGACTGCGTATTGGGACCTTCAGCCTGCCCGACTTTACAGCGGCATGCTATTGCATACTTGAACAGCATCGGTCAGCTAGAGAAGCTGTAGCGGTGGTAGCTTGATACCACGAAAAAAACTATTAACACGCGTCCTCATTCAATGGTCAAAGAGGTGGCCTTTTCTTTTATTTCTTTTTATACTATAAACTATATTCACAATTTGACTTTTTTTTCTCTCTTTCTTCTTCTTTGTACTTTCGATCCTCAATCCCCTTCCCAACGCAGAGTAGCAAGTCAGCGAATTTTACATGCCGGCTAAATTCTCTGCATTTCAATAAAGAGTTCTCTGACTCTCTCTCTAATGGCCGCACATCTGTGAGTGAGCTAAATAAACGCAGTCGACTACATCCGGTGACAGAGCGCAACCATGTCTGCCAATTAAAATTTTCATATCAGTCCATAGAGGGTCATTATAACGTCCACACTTCGAATTATTTTTTTCTACTCAACAGTTGATAAAACAAGACAAATGCATTTATTAACCATAGTTCCCTTCACCCCATTAAATAACTGTTTTAAATGTTCTTTTTCTGCGGACTATAACGGACTGAAATACTCCTATTACCTCAATAGATTCTCAAAAGTTTTTAGCCAAGTTATAAAAACATCTGAATATGTTATGAATTTCTTCATGATATTTCATTCATTCGATGCCAGTGTTTTTTTCCCCTTTGGAATTCTTACATATGTATGGAGAAAGCCTGCAATATTAGTGTGCTAAATTTTTTGTATTTGTGATGTGTAACCACCCTGCTATGATCTGGGAATAGATCTTAGTATCTATAATAAAAAGTAAACTAATAAATCAAATGCCTAGGCACGTAATTATAAATATCACAGTGCTTATTAGGTTGCGCTGATAATGCAACGCTATGAACGAAGAAGCGGGCGTTTCCTACGCCTCGATAAAAGTGCGTCCACCTAAGAGTGTCTCTGCGATTCACAAAAGCTTTCGTTTCTTGAAATATGTGTTAGATAACGTCCATCTTCCACGCAGCGCATGCAGACAGATGGCTATCGTCTTTAGACAACCTTTGCATTGAAGCACGCAGATACGCAGCCATTTTTTCCGAGCCTAGCAAATATAGTTATAACGCGCGCAAGCCTACCGTGTATACTTGCCGTTTTGAAAGTCATAGCCGGCTTCTCGGCCTCATTTGCTTTAATCATGTTGCTGTGCGAAACACTTATCGATTGCATTCCATAGATTTATTTAAATACCACTCAAGTGCATTGAGTACGCTTTATGATTATTAATATTCTTTTGAGCTTTTAATGGAAAACGTTTAAAGACGGTGCCGCTTTGTAGGATGATATCGAGGTGTGGTGGTAGATGCCGTGGTAGTAGATGCCGTGGTAGGACAGGTAGGACATGGCGTGGTAGTAGCTGCCGTGTTAGGACATGGCATGGGAGAAGTTGAATGCGGGAGCAGGCAGGGATTATATCGACCAGGACAAATGCACTCGTTCTGGCAGCAGGTACCTTGATTACCGGGGCACCAAGCGGGCAGCTTCATTCGTGCGTGAGAGTGGGATAAAGAGAAAAATAGGTTAGCGAGTCTCAACAGAATTATTAAATCATAGCGCTTGTGAAATTGCGTTCACAAAACCCGGACATGCCCAAGGCCGATTCTGCTGGGGCCCTTTAGAATTTCTCTATAGGTCACATTTAGGTAACAGAGTTGCGCTAAGGTACACCATCTCGGTTTCAAGCGTCTTGAAACAAAGCCACTCACCACCCACGTAGGAGCGGTGCTCGTGCTTAAGAATATTAGTGTTTGTTTTCTTCCTTTGTGTTTTTTAGGAAGCTACAAGCGAAACTCGGTTGCTCCAGTGACGCCTAGAAACATTGATCTTATGATCGTGTAGTTGGTATTTGATAATGCAACAAAGTGCGTCGGCTTGTTTAACCAGCGAGATATATATTTTTAGTATCTGTTGTTCTTTTTCTCAGAACATGACTCGTGCCCAAAGAAGGGGATTGGTGAATTATAAGGTGAATTTGCCCGATACTTTTTGCATTGCTTCGTTCCTAAGAAGCATTAGTAATAGAATTGCGATCAAGAGCCAATTGTGAATTTGAAAAAGAAAAAAAGAGGAAAAGAAAAGTAGTGAGCAGTTCGTTTGTTTGTTTCTTTGTTTCCCTGGACTCATAGCTATCACAGTAGCTTCGTATTATTTTCTGCCGTTTTTTTTTCTGTTTACAGATATAAAAGTACTTTTGCACAATTCATTGTAATCGAGCCAGGTATAGATGAGAATTTTCGGCCGGGTTGAACGAAATCGGTAACTATTTGAGGAAGCCACCTAAAGTTTCGTAGTCTTCAACTAAATCGAGCGGATAGCAATTGAGAGTAGCCGTGCGACGCCCGCGTCACGCGATGCATTTCTATTACGCTTGTATTATGCTCCCGGCTCATGATAGTTGATGTGAGTCGTTGTTCAACTGGCCTGTCACGTCCAACATTCCTTTCACTTAAGGTTTGAAAGCTGTTTTATATTCACATGCTAGCAGCAAGACCTGGTCATACGATTGTTTCTGGTTAGGCTTCGTGCTTTATTTTTAGAGTTTTTCCGATAGACCAATTTAGATGTTTGCAACCGACCCACATTGACCAATTCTGCATGGGTAACGTACTCACTGCATCTATAGATAATACAAATAGAGTAATTTTCGCAGTGTCGTGGATAGATAAAAAGGAGCCAAGTGCGTGGGCAATAGCAGGGGGGTGCAAAAGGGCCACATACCACCTCAAGCCACACACAGCATTAAGGAGACGCTGGCCACAACAGCACTAGTCCTCACCCGACCTAAATCGCTGCTTTACCTCTCTCTAAAACGCGATCCAACAATGATTTGCACCCCTCCCCCCTTCAAAACAAAATCCTGCTGCAGACCACGGCCAAGCGTTTATTCCTTCCTCGCTGACCACTGATCTTTCTACAGCGACACCTTACTGCACCCGCCTCTCATCTCATGGACTGTACGTATTACTGTTCAACAAGGAATGAACTTGCTACCACATTTCTCGGGACCAACAGGCAACTTGGGTGCAGCACCTAAAATGCTCGACGAGAATAACAACAACCGATATGAACCATGCCTAATCTGCCAAGAATCTACGAAGCATCGGCGTCGTCTGCGCAGTGTTGGCTTCTCTGCAGTGCGAATGAACCACCCGTGACCACGCTATGGCGCTCGGCTAATGGGGACGTTAAAATCTTGCAGCCGGCGTGACCGGTACCAGGAAAACAGTGGCGCAACTCTGCCACCTAAAGATAACATATACAGTAACTCTAGGTGCCTGCAGATCATTGCGCAATCTGGGACCACCTGTACAGAACACTAGATGGATGGATGAATGGATGAATGGATATTGCCCTACCCTTTAGATCGGGCGGTGGCTCGCGCCACCAAGCCGTAATACCTAATGAACCAAAAACTATGTGTATTTTTTCTCTTAAAAAGTGACTTTGAGTATTCGTACTTTGCATTGAAGAGTTTAATTTTCACTCGTGCTTTGACTTTAGCCACCAATCAGATAACCTCCTTCTAGTTAAGTCTACCCACTTAAAGTTTATTATACCCTCTCGGTCCCTAAACCCCAGTGCTTTAAAAAACTCTGCGCCATCATCCTGAACTATAGGGTGAAGCCCTTTACAGAGCATTATCAAGTGTTCGGCAGTTTCTTCTTCCTCTCTACACGCACTGCATACTGTGTCTACCCTTTCGTATTTGGCCCGATATGTCTTGGTTCGCAGTGCTCCTGTCCTGGCCTCAAACAGTAGAGAACTACCCCGAGTATTATAATAGATCCTTTCCTTGGCAATTTCCTGCTTAAAAGTTCGATAGATATCTAGTGCGGACTTCTTAATCATGCCCATTCTCAACATGTCAGTCTCCGTTTCCTTCACTTTCTTCTTAACCGATAGTTCTTTTTGGTTTGGCCACCTGCTGTTTTCTAAGTATTTACCGGTAAACTTCCTGGTTCGCTTCCTCCATTTTGTATCGACATTCTTCATGTACAAGTAGCTGGAAACCTTCCTAGCCCAACGCTCCTCTCCCATTTCTCTAAATCGCTTCTCAAATTTTATCTTGCTGCTAGCTTCCCTGCCCTCAAATGATGTCCATCCCATATCACATTGTACTCCCTGATTTGGTGTATTCCCGAGAGCTTCTAAAGCAAGCCTACCTATTCCACGTTGCTTAATTTCTAATCTTGCTTGAACTTCTGATCTCATGCCAAGACCGCATTGCCGAACGTCAGCCCAGGAACCATGACTCTTTCCATATTCCTCTCACAACATCATACTTATTGTAATTCCACAGTGCCCTATTTTTCATGACTGCTGCATTCCTGTTACCTTTAGTCGTCACGTATATTTCGTGTTCCCTCAGATACTCGGTCCCATTGCTTATCCATATGCCCAGATATTTGTATTTATCTGTTATCTCCAGCGTGACCTCCTGTATTCTAAGCTCACTACTTTCGTTGTCATTGAAAATCATGACTGCTGATTTTTCCTTACTGAATCTAAAATATAACCTATTTCCCTCATTACCGCAGATGTCCATCAATCTCTGCAAATCTTCCTTGTTGTTGGCCATTAGCACTATATCATCTGCGTACATTAATGCTGGTAGTGCCTGATCAATTGGTTTTCCTTGTTTGACTAAAGAGAGTTTGAAGCCCAGTCCACTTCCCTCTAATTTTGCCTCTAATCCTTCTAGGTACATCATGAATAATAAGGGTGACAGGGTGCACCCCTGCCTAAGCTCCCGTTTTACCTCTGCAGACTTGGATACCTGTTTTTCCCACTTTATAACTACCTTGTTACCTTTATAGATACCCTTTAAAAGATTAGTGACTACATGTTACACGCCTAGTGTGTCCAGTATTCCCCACAATTCCTCTTGAACCACGCTATCGTACGCTCCCTTGATTTCCAAAAATGCCAGCCACAGGGGCCTGTGTTCCTTTTCTGCTATTTCGATGCACTGCGTCAGTGAGAACAGATTGTCTTCGAACCTCCTGTGTTTCCGAAACCCATTCTGCAGTTCCCCCAGCACCCCCTCATCTTCATTCCATGCCTGTAGTCTTTCCTTTATAATCTGCTTCACCAGCCTGTAGACCACTGATGTCACTGTTTTAGGATGGTAGTTGTTTATGTCAGCTTTGTCCCCCTTTCCTTTATAGATCATGCTCATCCTGGTAAGTTTCCATCCATCGAGAACTTCGCCATTGATTATTATTGTGCTCTCTGCCTCTCTCAAAGCCTGCTTAGGCTTCGGACCTAATGTCTTTATCAGCCTAATTGGAATGCCATCTGGGCCTGTTGATGTACTACTAGGAACCATTTCTCAGCCCTTTCTCACTCTTGTTGTGAAAATGGAGCCATTGCACCACTTGATTCGTCCTTGTCTATTGTGGTGCATAAAGTACTTCTTTGTTGAAATTTTTTTTGTCACCCTTGTTCTTATATATTCAATAGCTTCGTCCCCTTCGAGCCTAGCACCTTGGGCTGTAGATATAAAACTCTGCTCTAGGCTCGTCTCATTCCTTAGCGAGTTTAGATGGTTCTAAAATTTTGCAGCTGCCTTTCTATCTTTTTTATGTACTTCTACCAGCCACAGAGCTCCCTTCATTTTAATCTTTTAATTGATCAGAAGGGATGCATCCTTTATACAGCTTAGAAAGGTTGCCCATTTTCTTTCAACATCATCTGTCGGTTCACCCCGCTGCTTAGCACGCCTGTGTTTCCTAGAGGCTTCCTGACGTTTTGCTATGGCTCTCTTAACTTCCTCATCCCACCAACATTTGGGTTTGTGTCTTCTTTTCCGGGGTGACTTGTCACGCGTCTTAGCAAGCTCTAGCTCAAAGAGTCTAATTAGATTCGTGTATGTTCACACTGTCTTATTATCCTCCGTGATTACTTTCTCAATTTGTTTAGTGGCTATTTCACTTTGCCTTTCTGGATAAAAATTTTCCTGTAGTTACTCATCTTGTCTCCTTCCCACTTTCACTGCTCTTCCAAAACTTTGCTTGATACGTTTGTGATCGCTACCCAGACTTTTGGAGCCACCTCCATCTATGTGCATTCCCCTGAGCTTATCATACATCGTATGTGACATCAGTGCATAATCTATTGTCGACTGAAGCCTTCCTACCTCCAATGTTATTTGCCCTTCACACTTCTCGGTACTGTTGCAAATGATCAAATCAAGCCTTTCACACATATCCATGATCATTTTGCCGGTCGGGTCGGTATACCCATCTATATCTTCTATGTGCGCATTCATGTCTCCTAGTATAATTATCTCGCACTCTCTTCCCAACTCCTGATTGTCCTTTGATATACACTTTAACATTGCCTGGTTTTCCTCTCTGGCCTTTGCTCCCGTCCACAAGTACACGAAACCAAGGAGTGTCATTTGACCTGCCACTTTCCCTTTTAGCCATAAATGTTCCTCGTACTCCTGCTTGATTCTTTGCCAGCCTATACTTTTATG